ATTACAATCAGGCCCGGATTTCCCACAAGGCCACCGAGGCCCGGCAGGGTGCAGAGGGGCGGCATCGGTGTGGAGTCCCCCGACGCCCGGAACATACAGTTCCAGGCGCCGGGCGGGTAAGTTGCCTTGTGGGGAATCCGCTCGTACATTTACAGGTGATCGCGGCGATGTCGCCGCAATCACTTGTAAAATCTGTGCAGCCTGTTCGTCCTCCCCCCCCTCACTGTGTAAAAAAGTAAAAAAATAAATACAATTAAAAAAAGTGATAAAAAAGAAAAAGAAAGAATAAGAGAAGCCGGCGGAGGCAGTGTGATGCTTTGGGCGATGTTCTGCTGGGAAACGTTGGGTCCGGCCATTCATGTGGATGTGACTCTGACACCGACCTAAACATTGTTACTGACCAAGTCCCCCCCTTCATGGACACGGTATTCCCTGAAGGCAGTGACCTCTTTCAGCAGAATAATGCTGCCGGCCACACTGCACACAATGGGTGAAGAATGGTTTGAGGAACACAACAACGAGGAGTCTGAGGTGATGACTTGTCCTCCAAATTCTCCAGATCTCCATCCAATCGATCATCTGTGGGACGTGCTGGAAAAACAAGTCTGATCCATGGAGGCCGATCACCTCACAACTTACAGGACTTAAAGGATCTGCTACTGACGGCTCGGTGCCAGATACCACAGCACACCTTCAGAGGTCTAGTGCAGTCCATGCCTGGACGGGTCAGGAGAAGGGGGAACCTACTATTCAACTATAAAACCCATTCGCAAAGCGAACAGCTATGCAAATATGATTCGCTGTGTTATGGCCGATAGATGGAGGAGGATAGGAAATTCCTGTGCTCTGCGGCTCCATCTAGTGGCCATAAACATTGTGAATCTTGTTCGCAGAGCTCTTCACTGTGAGAACGGATTATACATGGACTCCTATGTACAGCGGCTTTGTTACATTCTGTTTTCAGGAAAGCGTATCCTGATTTTTTTTTTTTCTTCATTTTAATAGTTGACAAGAATAAAAACAACTCGTTTATATATATTAAAAAAAATTGTGTGCGGGAGTTATAATAAAAAAAGAACTCACAACCGTTTCCCAGATACTGTAAATTCAGCAGCATCCATAATTAAGAGGTTTGGCGCTTGTCTGCGAGTTACCGATGGGGCGCGAGGATTTACAACAACCTGAATTAAATTCAGAAAGACTTGTGACCCGTGTACAGCGGAGACAACGATCAGTTCATTAGGAAAACGGAGGGATCGGATATAATGAGTAAACACACCGGCTGCACAGTACAGTTTTCTACATTACATTTTTATTGGGTTTTTCATTGTTTTTTTAAAACACAACAGAAAGGGAAAAAAACAAAACAGAAAGTGCTACAACAAATACAAGTACAGAATATAGAGGACAGGAAAAGGTCCGCCAAATACAAGTAGGAAATGATCAATTCTTTCCATCCATAGAGGCCATAGTTTCTGGAATTTCAATGGGAAGCCCCTATCAGTGTATGTCAGAATTTCCAATGAGAGGATGTCAAGCAAAACGAATGGCAAACGCACTCATCAACTTATCACCAGCTTTCAAGCGCGGTGCACATGGAAGGGCTTTATACAGGACAACAGCAAAACGTTTCCCGGCGCACTCACCTGCCGGCATGCAAAAAAACTTGTCTGACCGCTAAGGTTAAGAGGTTTAGATATGCGTCTTCTGCAGAAAATGTGAAAGCCGCACATCCAAGGCACCTCCATATAGTGCGGTCCTAACTCTAAACGATGAGAGTCTCCATCTTGGAGCACAAGATAAAATTGGGTGCAGGTTTGCCAGGAGGCAGCCCAACCCCCCTTAAAGTCACAGGTCACTTGTGCGTCCCTGTGCCCTTAAGGGGGTTTGGGCTTCCTCCTTGCAAACCTGCACCCAATTTTATCTTCTGCTACATGTGCTCCAAGATGGAGACTCACATAGATTAGAGTTAGGACCGCACTATGTAGAGGAGCCTTGGCGCGGCTGTGCGGCTTTCACATATTCTGCAGAAGATGTTTATCTAAAACCTCTGTATTTGACCTTAGCG